TAAGCCTTCAGAGCATTTGGTATATGTTTTATAGAATAATCACCAAGTCTGTGGTAATTTGTCTAGTAATGTGTCAAGAGTTGAGAACCCATGTCTACGTTTTCCAAGACAATCAGCAAGTTTGAGTCAATTTGTGTAGAAATTTGTTGAGAATTAAAAACCCACATCTATGTTTTCTATGACAATCGAAGGATTTTGTGACATGATTTGTTAGAAATTCATCTTTCATGGTTTTAGTCATATCCTTTCTTGTATACTCAGCGAGCTTATTTCATTTGGTTAGTCATTTGTTGAGCTTTTAGCGGGTTCGTTGCATGTTTAGAGGAGAATAAGTAAGTTTGCCTAATTTCTTTAGTTTACGGCATGCCTGAAAGTATCCCTTTCCCTTGCCAGCTCTCCAGCCCCATGTGCTTACGATGCCAATGCCTCTTTTATGTCCTATATTTATCTTCGCGGTGATCGACCCCTGCCTTGCCTCTTTCCACAAACCGCACCCTCCATCACCGTCTTTTCCAAGCCACCATGGCGCTTGATGTGGCCAAAATACTTCAACTTTCGGGACAGGATGCTGTTAATGACTCAGTTCTCCTCGATGTAGAATGGTCGTAGAATGTTTTTTCCTCTTCTTGATCCATGGTATCCCGAGAATCCTTCTGTAACATTTTAGTTCGAAAGCTTTAATCATAAACTTTTGACATAACAAAAATCTGTATCCGTCTAGAGAGACATGCGGATGTTTCTCGGTGAAACATCACTTAAGTGATTGTTGTGTATTCGCATTTGCAAAGGTAACATTTTCTGCTTCGGTCACGTACGGATGAAGGATTATTAACCGAAACATTTACTTGTCGTTTGTGACTGTGATCCTGTGAATCTGACAAGTTTCACTTTTGGTTTTTTTTTGATAGACCAATCGGCGGGTGATGCGGTCATCATTCCGCCGGGCGCCTTTACTTCTCTGTACTTTACCTGGTACTCATTAAGGACCGGGTCAAAGTAGGAGCCGAGATCATTAAAAAGAAAAGTCCGGACCTGTTCGGATTTGAACCCACGCTGCTTGATCCGCAAGAATTTATCCATCCACTACACCAGAGTGGCTCTGAAGAAAATGACTGGCCAGATTTTAATCACGATTGTTCTCCTACTTTTCTGCTGATATTCACGTTTTTTAATTAGTCCATCCAGGTAGAAGAAGCCAGGTGTTACCCTACGTGTCGTCAATTGTTGCTAATCAATACCACCTTGTCTGTTTCCTTTGTTATTCTATCGCCAGATGGATTTCTCCAGTTTCCAGTTTACTGCGTGTTTTGTAAATTTGTCTTAAATTTCCTGCTCAAACTCTGCGGATTATTACCTAATAAATTGTTTATTTCTATGCGTTTGAGGAAAGCAGTACTAGAAATAATAGCAGCAGCAGAAGTAGTTGTACTAAATGTAATAGTAGTAGTTGTAATAGTATTAGTTGTAATAGTAGTAGTTGTAATAGTAGTAGTTGTAATAGAAGTAGTTGTAGCAGTAGCAATTTTTGTTATGATGTTAGTAGCGGAAGTAGTATATTGGTATTAATTAGTGGTAGTTGTAAGAACAGTAAAGGTATTAATGAAAGTTGAATTAGTATAGTAGTAGTAGTAGTGAAAGTAGCAGCAGCAGACAGCAGCAGCAGTAGTAGTAGCATATAGCAGCAGTCGCAGCAGTAGTAGTAGTAGCTGTAGCATCAGCAGCAGTAGCAGTAGTAGTAGTAGTAGTAGTAGTAGTAGTAGTAGTAGTAGTAGTAGTAGTAGTAGTAGTAGTAGTAGTAGTAGTAGCAGAAGTAGTAGTAGTAATAGTAGTGGTGGTGGTGGTGGTTGTAGTAGTAGTGGTAGCAATAGTGATAGTAGTAGTAGTGGTGGTGATAGTAGTAGTAGTGGTAGTAGTAGTAGTGGTGGTGATGGTAGTAGTAGTGGTGGTGATGGTAGTAGTAGTAGTGGTAGTAGTAGTGGTGGTGATGGTAGTAGTAGTGGTGGTGATGGTAGTAGTAGTGGTGGTGATGGTAGTAGTAGTGGTGGTGATGGTAGTAGTAGAGGTGGTGATGGTAGTAGTAGAGGTGGTGATGGTAGTAGTAGTGGTGGTGATGGTAGTAGTAGTGGTGGTGATGGTAGTAGTAGTAGTAGTGGTGGTGATGGTAGTAGTAGAGGTGGTGATGGTAGTAGTAGAGGTGGTGATGGTAGTAGTAGTGGTGGTGATGGTAGTAGTAGTAGTGGTGGTGATGGTAGTAGTAGAGGTGGTGATGGTAGTAGTAGTGGTGGTGATGATAGTAGTAGTAGTAGTGGTGGTGATGGTAGCAGTAGTGGTGGTGATGGTAGCAGTAGTGGTGATGATGGTAGTAGTAGTGGTGGTGATGGTATTAGTAGTAGTGGTGGTGATGGTAGTAGTAGTAGTAGTGGTGATGGTAGTAGTAGTGGTGGTGATGGTAGTAGTAGTGGTGGTGATGGTAGTAGTAGTAGTAGTGGTGGTGATGGTAGTAGTAGTGGTGGTGATGGTAGCAGTAGTGGTGGTGATGGTAGTAGTAGTGGTGGTGATGGTAGCAGTAGTGGTGGTGATGGTAGTAGTAGTGGTGGTGATGGTAGCAGTAGTGGTGGTGATGGTAGCAGTAGTGGTGGTGATGGTAGCAGTAGTGGTGGTGATGGTAGCAGTAGTGGTGGTGATGGTAGCAGTAGTGGTGGTGATGGTAGCAGTAGTGGTGGTGATTGTAGTAGTAGTAGTGGTGATGGTAGCAGTAGTGGTGGTGATGGTAGTAGTAGTGGTGGTGATGGTAGTAGTAGTAGTGGTGATGGTAGTAGTAGTGGTGGTGATGGTAGTAGTAGTGGTGGTGATGGTAGTAGTAGTAGTGGTGGTGATGGTAGTAGTAGTAGTGGTGATGGTAGCAGTAGTAGTGGTGATGGTAGTAGTAGTAGTGGTGATGGTAGTAGTAGTAGTGGTGATGGTAGTAGTAGTAGTGGTGGTGATGGTAGTAGTAGTAGTGGTGATGGTAGTAGTAGTAGTGGTGATGGTAGTAGTAGTAGTGGTGATGGTAGCAGTAGTGGTGGTGATGGTAGCAGTAGTGGTGGTGATGGCAGTACTAGTAGTATGAGTATGTGTAGTAGCCTAGTAGTAGCAATAGAATTCTTCTACTGTCAATATTAACAGCAGTTGTATTTACACAAAAACATATCCTGTGAAGCTTTCCGACATGTAATTCCGATATATCGTGTATTGTAATAAATAGTTTTACAACAAGGGAACAAGAAGGCTATCACCACTATTGCTATTATTACGCTCACATGATTGGCGCATTTCCGTCTTTCCAGACGATAGTGTTACATTGTGCAATGAGGAGAGAAAGGGCTCACAGCCCAGGCGATGACGACTGTGACTAGCAAGACCCGCCTGCCTTAAGAAAAGACCTCCACAATCTCCCACAGTTAGAGGATGGGATTTCCGGGCCGTTGTTGTCAACATTTCATGTTTAATGTTTTTCTTCTCAGACGCTCAGATCTTATCCTTTCTGCAATATTTTCTTCATTGATTCTCATTCCCTTCCTGATGTGTACCCTCCACGCAACACTGTTCATGGCATTTGGTTCCAAGGATTCCGCCTCAATACCTGTATTATTCATGCCCCTCTTGCACACATCCTTTTTACTGTAGTAGAGGTCGGCCTTGACATCTTCTACCCATCTTTAATTCACAATAGAGGATGATCTCATGGAATCTGCCATCCCTAACTCTCCAGATGTCACCCAGTCACCTGAGTTTTCGTAGACTGAGCATTGAGAAAACTGTTAAGAAAAGATATAAAACTGAACAAAAAGTATATCAGCCAGCTTCACAAAATAACAAACACAAACAAAACGTGAGCGTTGGGGATATGGAGCCTTTATCACCACGTACATAAATCAAACAATATGACACACATACACAAAATCACTTAGCTTAGTTTCTCGGAGCAGCCAGGTCAATGAGTTGCCAGTAGACTGACGAAACACATAGGACAGGAGAATAAATGCAAAGAGCCGTAACTGGAGCGTTTAAGATAAAACTGTGTGGGCAGTTCAAAAGTATAGCCATGACAAAAAGAATCTTCGTTATTTTACAGTTTAATTCTCGAAATAATACATTCTTCCTATGACTGCCAGCCTGTGAACGACGACCACATGCCGTTCGTCTGATTTTATTTCTCCAAGTGTTGCCTATGCTGTCCTTGATGTAGAGAAAAAAATACACACTATCATCCGCAAAGAAGAAAGAAATTGATTAGCTATTCCCGATCATTATCATCATCATTATCATTGCACATGGAACCATTTAGTCCATAAGTGCTGTGGTCCCTCCCGCAGTAAATCCCGCAGCGTATAGAGGCTGACGTCATCAGTCCTATCTTGGTTTCTGACTCTTCTTTGGCTTCCTGCATAGCGCTCTTGTCTAGCGATAACCTTTTTTCACATGCTGTTCTTGGAGTCTGGTCTTGGCTGCAGATTTAGTCATCACTTGATGACCATGGGTTCTAGGTCTATCCAGCTTTGAGTGGGTACCATGTGCAGTCCTGGGAAGTAAAGACGACTGACATAAAGATGACCATATCACCCACCAAGAGCCGATTAGTCTATAAAATAAAGATCTAGCTCTATATGCCTAATACGCCTAAAGGCATGGAAAAGGGTCCTTTTCTTTTGCATTTACATTATTCATGATTAGCTGGTGTAATAAAAAAAACTGTAGGGGCCTCAGAGCTGTGTATCTTGTAGGGCTTGATCAAGTCTAAATGAGGCCTGCCTGACACTAACATGAAAACTGTTGTGTGCCATCCGTGACAGATATAGCATGGTGACAAGTCTATGTAATAACAGCTGTGATTTTGTGACATACTGTTTAATCTTTCCTTACCGTTTTTTTTAAGGGTCATCCATGTTTTCATCTTTGTTAAAGAATGTATATATTTTACTTCGTGACATATTTCCGAATCTAATTTACCTTAACCGGAAATGGTCGTCACTAGTGACAACGTACACTTAGCACCGGAAATTCATATGCAACATGAGCCGCTTTTATCAGAATTCAACATCTTTGACGACCGGACGAGATACTTTAGTACGTTTTACAGATTTGTGTGTGCATGTATCGTTCCTAGAACCAATTATTTGTTGTTATGTTAACAGCAATATTAGGTCCAACCATTTTAAACTAAGATTTGGTTAAATATGGTTATTGTTGGAATAATATTGAATCAAAAACTGACATCCCAGACTCGAGGCATTCATATAAGCTCTCCCTTCTTACCTTCAGCAGCAAGCGAAGAGTTCCAATTCCGATTGTACCAGTAACCGTCTGATTGTATATCCGTCTCGCCTTTCCCTTGAGTGTTTAGCGTCGGCTAGATCCTCTGGTAACTTTTTGCAGCTCCATTCTCTTCAGACCATAATGATCTATTTGTGCCTCTGCACTGTTCACTTGCCCCCAAAGGGCTCTTACAACATCTAGCTTGACATACAACACTTAACCACCAAGTGGTGCAGAACCAGCCAGTCTATCTACCAGTTCATTTCTAAACACACCTGCATTACCTGGAGAGAATATCCAAAAAAGGCTAACTACCCGGGACATCTGAAGGGATGCTTGCCACTCTGCACATAGCATGCCTGTCTTCAATTTCACAACATGCTTCACCAGTCAGTTACAACTTCGACGTGTGTGCACAGCTGGCTCTCAAGCCAGCGAAAGGCTTCAGTGACCGCCTCCACCTCCATTCTCAAACTAGATGTTTTGGTATCATACGCCTGGCTGTGTTACAGTAATTACTGTTGCACTAACAATTGGCCCACTAATTACTAATACTATATCCATGCAGAGAATAGAAATAGTAATTTATACAGCAAAATCGTATGCAATTTACTTGGGATAAATTAGGTTTTTCTTTAAAAAAAAAAAAAAAAAATTCATTATTGGAATTTTAGACTTTGCAGTCTAAATGGTTATTTAATATTTCAAAGATTATAAAGGTCCCTTTAAATTGCAACATCAAAGTCAAATGGGCAATCCTTGAGCAAGCTGATACGTTCAAGTACCTGGCTCACCCTGATAACATCAGATGGACGATTTATTAGAGAAGTTAAATATAGGAAAGCACAATCAAAGGCAACATTTTACAAACTGAAGAATGTTTCTTTGTCAACTGAGGCGAGAAATATAATTATCTTGAGCTATATAATTCCTTTCCTGATATATGGAAGTGAATCATTAGACAGTTTGCCAATTGGTGAAACCAAGTATTGAGGTGGCATAGGCGAATGATGAGAATACCCAGGAGTATTGAAGTGTTGAAAGAAACTGACCGTCGACATCAGTAGTAGATTTTCTACATTTTTTGAATATGTCTCGAGAAGGAGAAAACTGGAGTAGGTCGTGATAGTGGGAGGGCTGAAGGAGAAAGGAGACGGGAGATCAAGAGAAAAGATACTAGGTAGAGACTACTGGGCAGTCTGACATAATGGCATAGACGTGGAATATCACACGTATCAGAATGTGTTGAAAGTACACGAGACAAAAGGTAGTGGATAGAGATGAGGCAAAATGAAACACGGATTTTATGAGAGATGGGGTAAAATGTGACACGGATTTTATGAGAGAGAGGTAAAATCTACCACGGATTTTATGAGAGATGAGGTAAAATCTAACACGGATTTTATGAGAGATGAGGTAAAATGTGACACGGATTTTATGAGAGATGAGGCAAAATGTAACACGGATTTTATGAGAGATGAGGTAAAATCTAACACGGATTTTATGAGAGATGAGATAAAATCTAACACGGATTTTATGAGAGATGAGGTAAAATGTGACACGGATTTTATGAGAGATGAGGTAAAATCTAACACGGATTTTATGAGAGATGAGGTAAAATGTGACTAGGATTTTATAAGAGATGAGGTAAAATGTGACACGGATTTTATGAGAGATGAGGTAAAATGTGACTCGGATTTTATGAGAGATGAGGTAAAATGTGACTCGGATTTTATGAGAGATGAGGTAAAATGTAACACAGATTTTATGAGAGATGAGGTAAAATGTGACTCGGATTTTATGAGAGATGAGGTAAAATGTAACACAGATTTTATGAGAGATGAGGTAAAATATAACACAGACTGTTTGACTGGTTTATAAAAGTAAAAAGTAAGAAGAGATCCCTTATCACGTCTTTAGGCGTATCGGGCATATGGGAAGAGCCCCCATATTTTTACAGACCCTCTGCATTCGGTGGGTAATGTGGTCAGCATTACGCCGTCCGTCTTTACTTCCCCAGGACAGCCATCCTGGTACCCATTTTACGCTGGGCCGACCTGAGACGCCCTATGCCACGATACAAATCTACGCAGCCCGCAATGGGTTTCGATCGCGGTACGTTGGAATTACGAGCCAGACTCGCAACGCCTTAGCCACGGACGCCGCTAGGACTGGTTTATACAAATGATCTATATCATGGCACATATCATACGTGCTCCGTTCCACACACAAACCTGAATCTGAAGTCTCTCAGCGCAGTGCACGAACTCCATATCACCGGAAAGGATTCTGAAATAGATTGTTAGTTTCAAATTTTGCCCGCACAGCGTCGTTAGGTTTTTTTTTTGATTTCCAATTTTCAACTGCTAATACTTGCAACACACAGACCAGCTGGAAATTACTAGCCGTCCATGTGAAAAAATCCCAGCCTTTACCTGGATGAGAGATGAGGCAAAATGTAAAATGGATTGTGTGAGAGATGAGGCAAAATGTAACATAGATTGTATGAGAGATCAGGCAAAATGTAACATGGATTGTATGAGAGATGAGGCAAAATGTAACACGGATTGTATGAAAGATAAGGTAAAATGTATTATGAGGTAAACTGTAACATAGATTGTATGAGAGATGAGGTAAAATGTAATATGGATTGTATGAGAGATGAGGTACAACAATATAATATGGATTGTATGAGAGAGGAGGTAAAATGTAATATGAGGTAAACTGTAACATGGATTGTAAGAGAGATAAGGTAAAATGTAATATGGATTGTATGAGAGATGTTAAATGTAGCATGGATTGTATGAGAGATGACGCAAAATGTAACATGGATTGTATGAGAGATGAGGCAAAATCTAACATGGATTGTATGAGAGATGAGGCAAAATGAAACATGTATTGTATGAGAGATGAGGTAAAATATAATATTGATTGTATCAGAGATGAGGTAAAATGTTACATGGGTTGTATGAGAGATGAGGCAAAATGGTACACATATGGAATGTTTGAAAAGGAATAGTCAAAATGTAAAACACAGTGAACGTGCAGGATATAGATGTTAATCACAGCCCCTTTGTGTCTTTCACAGAGCAGAAGAGACCCGCCATGACGAAATGCATCAACAAATGGATAGTGCTTGCAACAGCTGTCCTTGTGATTACCATATTTGCGGCTTTCAGCTTGGCCCACACCACGGATACAAGTGACGCCAGCACGGCTGCTAGCACAGATAATAAAAAACCGGACCCATTACTGGTTGAGACAAAGCATGGGCGAGTGAGAGGTTTTTACAGGGATGAAGTTCGAGTCTTTCATGGGGTTCCGTACGCGCAGGACCCCAGTGGTGATAGGAGGTGATTATGTTTGTATTCTATCTATCTATCTATCTATCTATCTATCTATCTATCTATCTATCTATCTATCTATCTATCTATCTATCTATCTATCTATCTATCTATCTATCTATCTATCTATCTATCTATCTATCTATCTATCTATCTATCTATCTATCTATCTATCTATCTATCTATCTATCTATCTATCTATCTATCTATCTATCTATCTATCTATCTATCTATCTATCTATCTATCTATCTATCTATCTATCTATCTATCTATCTATCTATCTATCTATCTATCTATCTATCTATCTATCTATCTATCTATCTATCTATCTATCTATCTATCTATCTATCTATCTATCTATCTATCTATCTATCTATCTATCTATCTATCTATCTATCTATCTATCTATCTATCTATCTATCTATCTATCTATCTATCTATCTATCTATCTATCTATCTATCTATCTATCTATCTATCTATCTATCTATCTATCTATCTATCTATCTATCTATCTATCTATCTATCTATCTATCTATCTATCTATCTATCTATCTATCTATCTATCTATCTATCTATCTATCTATCTATCTATCTATCTATCTATCTATCTATCTATCTATCTATCTATCTATCTATCTATCTACCTATCTATCTATCTACCTATCTATCTATCTACCTATCTATCTACCTATCTATCTATCTACCTATCTATCTATCTACCTATCTATCTATCTATCTATCTATCTATCTATCTATCTATCTATCTATCTATCTATCTATCTATCTATCTATCTATCTATCTATCTATCTATCTATCTATCTATCTATCTATCTATCTATCTATCTATCTATCTATCTATCTATCTATCTATCTATCTATCTATCTATCTATCTATCTATCTATCTATCTATCTATCTATCTATCTATCTATCTATCTATCTATCTATCTATCTATCTATCTATCTATCTATCTATCTATCTATCTATCTATCTATCTATCTGTCTGTCTGTCTGTCTGTCTGTCTGTCTGTCTGTCTGTCTGTCTGTCTGTCTGTCTGTCTGTCTGTCTGTCTGTCTGTCTGTCTGTCTGTCTGTCTGTCTGTCTGTCTGTCTGTCTGTCTGTCTGTCTGTCTGTCTGTCTGTCTGTCTGTCTGTCTGTCTGTCTGTCTGTCTGTCTGTCTGTCTGTCTGTCTGTCTGTCTGTCTGTCTGTCCGTCCGTCCGTCCGTCCGTCCGTCCGTCCGTCCGTCCGTCCGTCCGTCCGTCCGTCCGTCCGTCCGTCCGTCCGTCCGTCCGTCCGTCGGTCGGTCCGTCGGTCCGTCGGTCTGTCTGTCGATCTGTCTGTCTGTTTATCTATCTTTCGCTAGATAATGACTCAAAACCCAGTATATGTTACACGCTACATAATGATTCATAGTGCCGTATATGTATGTTTGTCTGTTGGTCTGTCTGTTGGTCTGTCTGTCGGTCGGTCTGTCTGTCGGTCTGTCGCTCTGTCTGTCTGTCTGTTTATTTATCTGTCGCTAGGTAATGACCCATAACCCAGTATATGTTACCCGCTACATGATGACCCATAACCCAGTATATGTTACCCGCTACATGATGACCCATAACCCAGTATATGTTACCCGCTACATGATGACCCATAACCCAGTATATGTTACCCGCTACATGATGACCCAAAACCCAGTATATGTTACCCGCTACATGATGACCCATAACCCAGTATATGTTACCCGCTACATGATGACCCATAACCCAGTATATGTTACACGCTACATAATGACCCCTAATCCAGTATATGTTACACGCTACATAATGATTCATAGCGCCGTATATGTTCACTTCTTTAGCGAGACCCATCTTCCAGTTCCTCAATGACAGTATTTTTGTTGTGTATTGCCAGATGGCTGCCGCCGATCGAGCCCAAGCCATGGTCTGATATTTTTGATGCCACAAAGATTCCACCCGGTTGCCCTCAAGCCTGCGACATCCCTTTGTTTTGTTCAAACCAGGTGAGCTGACTCCAGACTTGACGCCCGGCTGTGTGTTTACCCTCTTACTGTCTGTCGGCCCATCCATGTGGATGGCGTTTAGTAGCGGGAGAATTCTTTATATCAGTTGGAAAAGATCAAATGTTGTTGATAAGAAGCTGCAATATCGTAAGATGTCTTCACAGTAGGTACCATGCGCACATTTAATGCGATAAACACATGGTTCAGCGAGCCACCACAATCCTTTTTTTTTTTTTTGCGGACTGGATTGGCCGCCTACCTAAATATTGGTATGCTTGCCTGACTGCCTACGTCGAAATTTTGTGTGACCAGCTCGTGGTGCATAATTCATTCAAATTAAATGCTTTGTTTAATTCTTTCACAGCTGTTGGTGTTTCTTTCATGCTTTTGTAATAAAGCCAATGGAATTAGGCTTTCAAATAGACGTTATTCACAATTGTAGGGACAATTTCTTGTATACATGGCTAGAATGTATTCTTTTACACAATTATTAGCAATGCTCAGCTTCCATCATCCTAAAAAAAAAAAAAAAAAAGGTGCCCACACGGGAGCATGACTAATGTAGATCGTCGTCTGCTTCGATGTGGAGTGCATCCGCCTGAGAGGCAAGGAACCAACTTTCTCCTCAGAGAAAAGTCAGAATTGTAAAACGGTTGTGCACGCAACATACAAGTCCTGGAACAAGACAGACGTTCAGAAATGGACGTTAAAACAGAACTTTCCGATGGAGTTTACAGCCGGTGAATGCGAAGAAAAGGAATCCCCAGGAGTAGTGGCAATTGAATGCATACAACAAATGTTACATGCGCTGGGGCACAAAATGCCTGTGACATGTAGTAAACATAAAAAAAAATTGAATATATCTAAAGAGGTGAAGAAATAGTGAAAATGTCTGGACAACCATTAGTATTCACAATTACAACAAAGACAGTAAATTGGTAAATTTGACACAATGACAAAAAAAAAAAAAAAAATGCAGAGAATCACCAAACAGGCATTACAATGGGAAATAAAGGGATTGTAGAAGCCAACACGTCCAAAAGAAACATAAACATAGATAAGGTAAGGCTGAAGTTATTGGACTTAATCCCTTCTTTGGTATAGAAGGGATTGTACAGCATAGAACGTACTGAATGAATATACTGCGAGCACTTTCTAACACTAATGACAAAGGACACCCAATGAATGAACAGCGCTTGAATCAAGCAGGCATGAGAAAATGCTGTCCCAGCAAGGTTCCAGAATTTTCGGACAAGGACATTTGACGAAGAAAGGAATTGGTTTCCCCACCACACGTGTCCAGGCCTAGATCATATGAGAGATAAAAGAACACATTAGACAACATAAAAATCGAAAGCTTTAGTTACCGTGCTGGAAATAGAACCTGTCACCTCAAACTGCATGTGCGCCTCGCTGTAGAAATAGGTGTACTAAGAACATCACCAACTAGGCGCCGTTAAAAGAAAAAGGTGTCCTCGTTGCCCATTTCTATCTTACAGCTTGAAATCCACAGCTATGGAAAACGGACAGAATTAATCTCAAACCACTGAAATGACACTACAGGTTACATAAATTTATATTAATCAAGCATAGGTCAAATATCAAACACAACAACAATTACAAACATATCGGATCGTAATGCTTTGTCTAGAATACAATCAAACATTCATGAGAGTAATTTGATTGATCAGTTTCATTGTGTTACACGATCAATCACATGAATAAACAGAGGAGGAACCCTTGAAGCCGAATTAGTATACTTGTTTCCACATATGCCGTTTTAAAGACGACAGAAGAAGAAGAGAAAGACGAAAAATGGGTGGGGTGGGAGAGGGGTGGAACTTTTATTTTGAAATCTTAAACCCCCCCCCCCCCTTTTTTTTCGTCTTTCTCTTCTGTGAAGTGTTCAATGTTTTCATTTTCCTGCATATGATAATATGAGCAAGCGTTTTATAATCATAAGTGTTTTAGAATGTAAACACACACGTGCACACAAACACACACACACACACACACACACACACACACACACACACACGCACGCACGCACGCACGCGCGCGCACACACACACACACACACACACACACACACACACGCACGGAGATCAGCTTATGGAAGGCAAATAACATTGCCTGCTTTCAGAGCTCAGAAAATTGCCTGTTCTTGGAGATTTACACCCCTTTACCCACTGAAAATCTGGTTGAGGTTCTAGTCTACCTTCACGGAGGAGGCTTCAGGGATGTCACCTCAACAGTTCCCATTTTTGACCCAACAAAACTCGTTCAGATATCGGGAATAATTGTCGTAAAAGTTGAATATAGGATCGGTAAGTTACAAAACTACGACTGGTTAGAGTATACGCTATCAGCCTGCCGTCCTGAATGTCTGAGGTTTAAATCTATAGCGAGGCAGGGATTTGTTTGTTTGTGTGTTTGTTCCTTCAGTTGTTACCTTGGCTCTTATGTCCATCAAACTAACATTGGTACAAGGTAAATATATAGGAAGTGAATGTGGCGGGTAAATTCGCTTTACACTAGCGAATGCACTATGTGCAATCTACAGAGGGAAACACAAACATTGAACATCCTAAGAAATTATATTTTTCCCAGCCTTGCTGGTTAAAGGAGAGGATTCGGGGTTTGCCCACATCTAATTCCCTACTGTTAATAAACTTGTATATTTAAATGTTCTTAAGTTCACTGACACAATGCTTACAGTTAAAATGAAACTCCATAAAACTGTAGGAACATTAAAGCCATCATTTATTAGGAAATGGAATTCAAGATAATAATCAAAAGGCTGTGGATAAAATTATGGATTGGGAAAGTAACAGATGTTCCCACTTAGCTGTAGCTTAGGTTTCTTTGGTCAGCTTCTAGCTAAGCCTCGGAGACACATCAGGCAGGCCGAATCTTCCAGTCCAGTCCAGACATTTGGGCATATGCAGCTAAGCTTGGATTCACTTTTGGAACTCCCACCTGGAACTCCAACCTGGAACTACCATCTGGAACTACCATCTGGAACTAGAACAATAAAAACAGTCCCTATATAAACAGTTTGGAAAGTTCTCACTGGAGACAATATTGCCTCCAGTTCTCATATAATGTTACACTACACAGATATATATGGAGTAGGATAGTAACAGGTGTTCACATTCTACTAGTATAGAATGGGAATGTGTATAGAACATGGTCCATAATCCTGATGGTGACGTGAATACTCTCTATCCCAATAGTTTACATCACACAATAAGAAAGAACATTCATCTGTGTAAATTGTTCTCATGTCTTTACACTAGTACTCCTTTGAAGGGTTAACATGCTTACACACACAGACATACACAGTCATTTTCTCATTTTAACCACATGGTTCACATCACAAAGAATGAGAATCAGGGAGTGAGTTTACAAAGGCCAGAAACTTATAACAGGTGCTGTGCACTGTTTGAAAACAAATAGGATTGACACATCTCCATCAATATAACTGGGTGCTGGGATAGATGTCATTATACAATCATAGATGACAATGGGCTTTCCATCTGTCACAGTATTAACATAAAATATACAACACTCACTCCAGTTTAAATCTAAATCCACATGTGTGATGACATCTTAGTCAGCAGAGTTTAGAAGTTGTGAGGGGTGAAATATAATTATTAAAACTGTAAGGCCACCTGCTGTAGAACTGAAATGTATTCCTAGTAATAGGGAAATATATATACTTACTTACTTACTTAGTCGCTCCTCTTCTACCTTGGGGTGTAGAGGCTTGCCAGAGAGATCGCCAGACGTCTCTATCAGCAGTTTTCTTTCTGGCTTTGTTCCATTCCAGTCCTCTGTCAGTTAGGGATTGTCGGATGTTGTCTTCCCAGCGCACCCTGGGTCTTCCCGGAGGTCTGGTTCCCTGGTTCTTAGCCTCCCATGCTTGCCATGGTGGCCGAATTCTGCAAATGTCCAAACCATCGTAACTGTGACTGATCCTGGGTATCAAGATCTTGACGTATTGTCTGATTGCGGACTTTGTCCCTTCTTGTCACTTGGACCACCTTTCTCAGGTATCTCATTTCCGAGGCCTGAGCTGGCTTCTGTGAGCTGTTGTCATTGCCCATGACACACCCATAGGTCAGGACTGGTACATAGGTAGAGCGGTAAACAGCCATTTTCGTCCTCTTGCCAATTTCTCTTTTGCTAAGAAACCCTCGGTTTATGGCCTGGAAGAGTCTCCCAGCAGCTGCTTTTCGTGTAGCCAGCTCAGTCCTAATGCCTCCATTTTGGTCTAATACAACTCCAAGGTATTTGAACTGGTTAACCTGCTCCAACGCATACTGTACCATCAGGATCTGGTGTTTCTTCTCCTCTCTTGAGATCACCATGGTTTTAGTTTTAGAGACACTGATGGTCATCCCTTTCTTTTCAAGCTCTTCCTTCCAGACAAGTAAGTTGGACTGAAGGTGTGCCTCTGATTTAGCTATCAGGGCCACATCGTCTGCAAAAGCCAGCTCTGATATACAGATGGAAATATATATACAACAATAATAATTACAAGCATGGGCCATACATCTCTCTTCTTCTTCTTCTCTGACAGTATGAATATTAAATTCAGCCCCACTGTGTTATTCACTTTTCAAGCTCTTAAACAGGTCTCAGAATTATCTGGACTAAATCTAAATTAAAGCCATACAGTGATTTATCAAGCTAATATCAACATGAGGTAAAATCAACTTAAAGGATTAAGTATAATGAATATACACTTCATTCCTTTTTTAATTGTCTCACCATGCTGGAAACCGGAACTGGCCGAGATTTCACACAAGGACATAAATTCTTACTTAATTAATATAATTATAATAATTAAAAATACCAATGCACGTTTCTAGTATCAAATAAACATTATTTCAATCATCAAATAGATCATATGTTTGCATACATGTACATACTAGATCATAAACGTGGTTAGTTAGGATAAGGAAATTTATCATGGTTTCTAAGCCATGTGGGCATCAAACAGCAGATAAAATTAATTCAGAGGAATAGTAGCAATAGATCAAATTACACTAATTCGATTAACTCACCTCTGGTAGGGAATTCAAACACAGACAACAAGACTGCAGAACTTTAGTCTGAACTGCGTCAATTGAGGAGAGCAAAATCTTGACTCCCCCAATCGTGCCTGGTATGAAAATGAAAGAGGAGAGTCCTAAAAGGGGGAAGTAACTCTTGTGTTACCCCTTCCGCTACTCTTCGCTTGTGTCCCTTTCAACTTTTAATTATGAATTAATAATATTGCTATACTAAAGCAGTAAGTAAAAGGTAAGAAAATTTAATAAAATTGCTAATACAAAGCAATACTTAAAAGGACAGAAACAGCTGTTCAGACCAGCTCGTCACAGTGAATGCGGCCACGCATCTACCACTTTCAGGCATTCAGTTAAGTTCAACTAGTTATAGCATGACGAATGAGGTAGCAGATGTCACAGCGGCACTTGCATAGTTGGTGGAAGAGAAAACGTCTCACGCATTGAGAGTAAGAGAGTCAATGAGTGTGATTAAGAAGATCTAAACTGGCAAACTCGGATTAGAATGGGTTGAAAGCATCCAGAAGTCATCTTTTAAAGAACTAACTTGCATGTACATACCAGAATACGTCTGGGTTAAAGGAAAGGAAAGATCCGACAGACTGGCTGTGTCTTCAGTAGTTGGTGGAGAAATAAGTATGAACGCGGCTGACATACTGATAAGTTTGAGGCTTGAACAACGGATCAACATCATGGCACACGGGTAGTAACCCATAAGTGCTCAGTTCTTCTTCTAACTTAATTTTGAGTGCTCAGAAGCCCAGCACAGTGCACACGATCTGTGGCACCAGCGAGGATACTGAAATAGTTTAGATAGATTTTTAACTCTAAATGTTGCTCGGGCACCACCGTTAGGCTACTCTTTTCGTAAAAACCCCCAGCCATTGCCGGAGATTAAACCCGAAACCTCTAGCACTCGAGGCGGACACCATGCCCTGAGACCACGCAGCCCCTTGCGTTCCAGATAAGTGGAGACAAAGGAGTCAGTGAGGACGAACCGCCTGTTGAAAATGGTTTTTAGAGGACATGTATGCCAAAAACCGGTTACAGAAGAAGAAAGAAAGTATACCAATCAACTACTACTGATTAAGTTGGGCACGGAGACCCTGTGATGGCTGGTGCATAGGAGGACGATGTGTTCACAAGGTGAACTTCATCATCATCCTCATCCTCCTTCTCCTCCTCGTCATCCGCATCACCACCCTTATCCTCGTCATCTTCATCCTCATCGTCATCTTCATCATTATCACCATCATCATCATCGTCGTCGTCATTATCTGCATCATTCCCCCCCCCCCCCACAATCATCATCCTTCCCTCATCATCATCATGATCCTTATCATCATCATCCTCAGCATCCTCCTCCTCATCATCATTCTCATCCTCATCATGTGCTAAGATGTCGATACAGATAAACAGAAACAGCACAGCCAGTGTCGACTGGTCTAAAAAAAAAAAAAAAACTCTAGCACTGCACGACTGGTACCGCTCAAAATAATACATATTCAGATAACGACGTGAGTGGGGATTCTAGTGGAATCACCTCGTCCGGTAGGGAGCATCATGTTCTACGGGTGATACCAGACCGTCATCCAGCTACTGTAGAGAAAATAAATGGTAGAAGCATCATGAACATTGGTACATGGAATGTCAGAACACTCGTACAAAACGGAAAGTTGGATAACATCAAGATGGAAATGAAGAGAATGAACATCAGAATGTTAGGAATTAGTGAAATGAGATGGCCAGGAGCAGGTGTAAAGTATTCAGATCAGTACAGAATTATTTACTCGGGTGGGAAGGAATATAGTAAGGGAGTTGGTATTATTTGGGATCAAAAGAACTCAAAAACTGTGAAAGGATTTTGGACAATATCAGATAGAGTACTATTAGTAAAACTTCGCGGCAGACCGTTTGACATCAACTTAGTACAGATTTATGCCCCAACAGTAGATAGTTCAGAGGAAGATTTTGACGCATTTTATGACGAGTTAGACATGGCTGTTGATCAATGCAGAAATTGTGAAGTAACAATGGTACTTGGAGATTTCAACGCGAAAGTAGGAATTGAAAAAGTGTACGGAATAACGGGTGGCTATGGCCTAGGAGGAAAGAATGTGAGAGGTGACAGATTAATAGCATGGGCTGAGTCACGCAGCATGATAATAGGTAACACCTGGTTTAAAACACCATTCTCGAAGATTGTGGACTTGGAAAAGTCCTTGATGATAATGTCCGCGATCAGATTGATTATATTTTGATTTCAAGAAGATTCCGGAGCAGCTTAGTTGGAGCAAAAACTAGACCTGGAGCAGACTGCTTCAGTGACCATGTTCCAGTTGTAGGAAAAATTAGAATAAAACTAAAGAACATTAGAAAAACACCACAGAACATCAAGTTAAATTTAGGAATTCTTAGAACGGATAAAGAAATTAAGGACCAGTACACTGTCACTGTACAAAACCGGTATAATGCAATGGAAATTATACAGACTATTGATGAACAGTGGGATATGTTGCGTGAGTCAATTCAGCAAAAATCTAAAGAGACAATCCCACCAACCCAAAGCGTTGCAAAAAAAGAAATGGATGTCAACCGAAATTCTGCAGTTGATGGATGAAAGAAGGAAGAAAAAGGATGATAAAGAAGAATACTCTAGAATACAAAAAGAAATAGTGAACAAATGCAAAGTGGCTAAAGAAGCCTGGCTGAATCAAATGTGTACAGAGATTGGGGAAAACAACAGGAAAGACTCACATTCCATGTACCAAAAGATAAATATATTAACTTGAAAGATGACACATAACAACACTGGATGTTTGAAATCAAAAGATGGTGACTTATTAATGGGACATAGTAATATAATTAACAGATGGACAGAGTATAAAGGGGAATTGTATGATGATAATAGACCAGACGTAGAACTGCAGAACAACAATGATGGTCCACCAATAATGACTGCAGAAGTTGAGGATGCAATACATCATATGAAGAAAGGAAAAGCACCCGGGCCAGACAACATCTCACTGGAAGAAATCGAAGCACTGTGAGATTTTGGAATTGAAATAATAATTAAACTTTTAAATGATATTTATAATAGTGGGTATATTCCAAATGACCTTTCAAAATCCATATTTATAGCTCTGCCTAAGAAACCAGACACTATAAAATGTAAAGACCATCGCACAATAAGTCTTATGAGTCACATGACTAAGATTTTACTGAGAATAATTATGAGAAGAATAAGAAACAAAATTAAACCAGAAATCAGCGATGAACAATGTGGATTTGTAAAAGGAAAAGGTACAAACAATGCCATATACATCCTAAGGACATTGTCAGAAAGAGCTATAGAAGTAAAGACTGATTTGTACATATGCTTCATAGACTATACAAAAGCATTTGACTGTGTGAAGCATGAAAAAGTAATCAAACTGTTTGAAAAATTAAACATTGATGGGAAAGATCTACAAATAATAAAGAATATGTATTGGCAGCAAACAGCAGCTATAAGAATTAACAACTGTTTAGGTACATTTCAAAGCATAAAGAGAGGCGTACGACAAGGATGTGTACTGTCACCTGATTTGTTTTCAATATACAGTGAATATATAATGAGAGCTTTAATTAGTATGCCCTGAATTGTGGTTGGTGGGTACAATATAAACAATTTACGTTATGCTGATGACACAGTCTTGATAGCAACAAGTCAGAAAGAACTACAGGAAATGATAGACATTGTGGTGTTAGAAAGTGGAAGAATGCGCCTCAGTTTGAATAATGGGAAGACAGAAGTAATGGTGGTATCAAAGAAACGAATTATTCCTAAGTGTGTAATAAAATATTTTAAGACAAGTACAGAAATTTAAGTATCTGGGCCCATGGAAAACATCAGATGGAAGATGCATAACTGAGATAAGAAACAGAATAGGACAGGCAAAAACTGCATTTTATAAAATGAAAAACATCTGGCCAAACATCCTTCTGGAGATGTGAATTTTGCTTGCTACATAATCCAGAATGCATATGGAATACCTTGACAATCGGTAGGCGCCAAAAAGAGCAACCAAGAGGTTTTTACAAAGAGGCGGGACCCCGAAGACAACTTATCACAGACGGTCAGAACTTATCACAGAGATCAATCATCATTTTTTTTCGGCCATGTTATGATAAAAGGGAAAATAGAACATGTTGTGACCACTGGAAAGATATGTGGAAGGAGAGATAGAGAAAGACAACGAGAGAAGATGCTTGACAGTCTTGTTGTATGGCATAAAGGTGTGTCGGCACACGAACTGATACATGCTGCAGGAGATCCCAGATTATGGAGAGGCATGATCGCCCACGCCAGTCGGCAAGGCACCCGATGATGATGATGATGATGATGATGATGATGATGTCAGTCCGAAATGTTCAGAAATGGAGCGTAGCTGTAAACCAGAACGCAATGTCACAACCGCTCTTTCAAAGGCGATTGCAGGAGAAGGAGAATATGCAGAAAAAGATAAGAACTGCATTTCAATAACAGTATAGCACTTCCATTTTTCTGAGGAAATAATTATACTCAGCAAATCCCCACCCTCTCTCTCTCTTTCTATTTCTCTCTCTCCCTCTCTCTTTCTTTCTTTTTCTGTGTGTGTGAGTGTTCGTGCGTGCGTAGGCCTTTATGCCATATCCCTCTCTCACACTCTCTCTGCATTCCGCTGTCTTGGTCTGTGTGTATCTATTTGACCGTTTGTCTCAGTCACTGTAACAATAAGTAAAGGACCCTTTTCCACGCTTTTAGGCGTTTAGGGCATATAGGGCTAGACCTATATTTTTATAGACCAATCGGCACAAGATGGGTGATGTGGTCAGCATCACGCCAGCCGCCTTTACTTCCCGGGACTGCACCCGGTACCCACTCAAGGCTGGGTCGACCTGAGAGTCAAGGTCACTTTTGAAAATTAGTCCCACTCCGCCAGGAAGCGAACGCACGACCTTCTGATCCGCGGCGAGCGTCTAGCCGCTCGGCCACGGCGACTCCCGTCTCAGTCACTGGATCTCTGTGTTTGTCTGTCTATGTCTGTCTGCCTTTCCATTTGTCTCTCTGTCCCCTCTTTTTCTTTAAGCCCATTGTCTGTTTTTCCCCCTGTCTTTCCCTGTCTCTCTCATCATCAACATCATCATCATCATCTCATCATCAACATCATCATCATCAACATCATCATCATCTCATCATCAACATCATCATCATCTCATCATCATCATCATCTCATCATCAACATCATCATCATCTCATCATCAACATCATCGTCATCTCATCATCAACATCATCATCATCTCATCATCAACATGATCATCATCATCACTATTTTCTTCTTTTTCTCCTCCTCCTCTATCACCTCCTTCTCTATATATATATTCTTATAAATACACTGTATCATAGGAGCATTGGGGTTCTTGAACAGCGGGACAGGCGAGGACGACGCTAAAGGGAACTATGGACTCCTGGACCAAAGGCTAGCTCTGGTGTGGGTTAGCGAGAACATCAGGTTGTTCGGTGGCGACCCTGATAAGGTAAGGATATGGATCTCATTACCTGATTGTCTAGTCAGTAAAAGTTGCCAGTTGTCCAGTCAGTGAAATATGCCAGTTGTCCAGTCAGTGAAAGTTGCCAGTTGCCCAGTAAGGGAAGTTGCCAGTTGTCCAGTCAGTGAAAGTGTCCAGTTGTCCAGTCAGTGAAAGTTGTCAGTTGTCCAGTCAGTGAAAGTTGTCAGTTGTCCAGTCAGAGAAAGTTGCCAGTTGACCAGTCAGTGAAAGTTGCCAGCTGTCCAGTCCGTGAAAGTTGCCAGTTTGCCCAGTGAGTGAAAGTTACCAGTTGCCCAGTCAGTGAAAATTGCCAATTGTCTAGTCGTGAAAGTTGCCAGTTGTCCAGTCAGTGAAAGTTGTCAGTTGTCCAGTCAGTGAAAGTTGTCAGTTGTCCAGTCAGAGAAAGTTGCCAGTTGTCCAGTCATTGAAAGTTGCCAGTTGTCCAGTCAGTGAAAGTTGCCAGTTGATCAGTGAGTGAAAATTGCCAGCTGTCCCGTCAGTGAAAGTTGCCAGTTTGCCCAGTGAGTGAAAGTTGCCAGTTGCCCAGTCAGTGAAAGTTGCCAATTGTCTAGTCGTGAAAGTTGCCAGTTGTCCAGTCAGTGAAAGTTATCAGTTGTCCAGTCAGTGAAAGTTGTCAGTTGTCCAGTCAGAGAAAGTTGCCAGTTGTCCAGTCAGTGAAAGTTGCCAGTTGATCAGTCAGTGAAAGTTGCCAGCTGTCCCGTCAGTGAAAGTTGCCAGTTTGCCCAGTGAGTGAAAGTTGCCAGTTGCCCAGTCAGTGAAAGTTTCCAGTTGTCCAGTCAGTGAAAGTTGCCAGTTGTCCAGTCAGTGAAAGTTGCCAGACAGCACATCTCTGACCTACTAGTAGCTTCTTCGATGGGAGGATTGGTAGCTTGTAATGTGGCGGCTACTGTTCTGTGGCGGCTACTGTGGCGGCTACTGTGGCGGCTACTGTGGCGGCTACTGTGGCGGCTGCTGTGGCGGCTGTTGTGGCGGCTGTTGTGGCGGCTGTTGTGGCGACTGTTGTAGCGGCTACTGTGGCGGCTACTGTGGCGGCTACTGTGGCGGCTACTGTGGCGGCCACTGTGGCGACTACTGTGGCGTCCACTTTGGCAGCCATTGTAGCGGCTACTGTGGCGGCTACTGTGGCGGCTACTGTGGCGGCTACTGTGGCGGCTACTGTGGCGACTGTTGTGGAGGCTACTGTGGCGACTGTTGTGACGGCTACTGTGGCGACTGTTGTGGCGGCTACTGTGGCGGCTACTGTGGCGGCTACTGTACTGTGGCGGCTGCTGTGGCGGCTGCTGTGGCGGCTGCTGTGGCGGCTACTGTGGCGGCTGCTGTGGCGGCTACTGTACTTTGGCGGCTACTGTACTGTGGCGGCTACTGTGGCGGCTACTGTGGCGGCTACTGTGGCGGCTACTGTGGCGGCTACTGTGGCGGCTGCTGTGGCGGCTACTGTGGCGGCTGCTGTGGCGGCTACTGTGGCGGTTGTTGTGGCGGCTGTTGTGGCGACTGTTGTAGCGGCTACTATTGCGGCTACTGTGGCGGCTACTGTGGCGGCTACTGTGTCGGCTACTGTGGCGACTACTGTGGCGGCTACTGTGGCGGCTACTGTGGCGACTGTTGTGGCGGCTACTGTTGCGACTGTTATGGCGGCACTGTGGCGACTGCCAGTGGATGCAGTTAGTATCGTGGAGCAATAACTGTTATTTCGTCAATAGATTTATTAGTAAAGTCTTTGAAAAAGAACCATTTTTTAAAATTTTAATATTGTTAAACAGATGGAAGCTCGTTCAACAGCTGCAGAGGAATAACGTAGTGCCAAAAGACTAATCTTACATTTTGATACTAATGAAATGTGATTTTCAGCCCCAGAATATTCTTGAGAAATTGTAAACAGACATTTTTCTGGTGTTTCTTCAGCGTTTCTTCAGTGAAATTGCACAATTGAGCCCCCCCCCCCCCCCCCCCCCCCCCCCATTTCTTTTTTTTTCTTTATCATGTTTTGTTTTCTTTAATAAGACTGGAAGATTGTGTGACCAGTATCATTACTGACGTCGATCTTTCTTCAGTTCTTTTGGGATTCAGCATACAATACCGAAACTTACACTATTAATGCAAAATTTCTATAACGTACTAAAACATCGAATGTGGTACCAAAAGTACAAATCTACTCGGGTCAAAATAGTACCAAATTTGCACCAAACTACCAACTTCGGCAGCCCTGACTGGTACCAGGACTTCCGGTCAAATAGCTAAGCCACCTGATATGTTGCTCTTAAATGAACTATATTTCAGTATTTGTCTCCGTCTGATTTCTTATTTTGTTTTAAATCTTTTCTACTTTCTGCGGCAGCTCTTCCAAGACATCTCTCCTGTATGTGATGATCTTGCACTTGTTATCCTTAGTCCGCACCCATGATTGACACTGGTAGCAGACAACTGGCCAGCAAATTATTGTTGTAGAATTTGTCTTTGTAGGCAAAGGTATCTTGTGTTTGTGTCAACACTTAGCTGCTCCGGTACATGTTTAGCTTTTGTACATCGTGTGGAGTTTTTCTCTGTCTATTCTTCCTTCTGATGTGAAAAAGTGATGCCAAGGTATTTAAATGCACCTGCTTGTTTAATCTTTGTTTCTTTCACGTTTAATGATATGGCTGCTAGCCGTCTACATATCACAATTGTCTCCGTATTTTCCAAGTTTTAATTTTTCATTTCTGGCACTTAGCGTTGACTTGACTGTGGTAGTTCTGGAGACTTCTCCTACTGCTTTTAACACTTGGTCATCTTCAAATGAGAGATCCGAGATATCACATAGTCGTCTTATTTGATCCCAGCTTCCGTAAATATATTGTCAATCAACTTAAAGAGAAGTAAAGGAGGTGGCACATTTGTGATACTCTTGATTTATGAGGGTGGGGGTTGGAGAATATATAATTGTGTTAAATCAGCCAGTTCTTCTGTCCCTCTAGGTCACATTGGCTGGACAAAGCGCTGGAGCACAATCTGTCATTTTTCACACGGTTTCTGAAGGTTCGTCACGCTACTTCCGCTTCGCCATTATTGAGAGCCCGCCTCTATCACTACCTTACCAAGCACCTAAGGTAGCAATCAGGCACGCCCAGGCATTCTCAGAGATCCTAGGATGCCTCGAGCAGAACTCAACGACCGTGAACATATCCTGCCTACGCCAGAAGCCTGTGAAGGACATCTTGGAAGCTCAGAAAAAGGCCGACGAAGACCTTGGTTTTTTCCAGAAGCTGGAGCCATGGTGTCCGGTGACGGATGGACAGATTGTCACTGCGGAGATGTTAGCTTCTTTGATAACCTACGCTTCAAGCAACAAGACAAAGAAGCCAATCATTTGGAGCTTTACAGCGGAAGAAGCCGTATTATATGTCAACAGTATAGCGAGTAGCCCTGTGCCCGAGTTTCTCTATAGAATAGTACTGGGCACTCTACTGATGTCAACCCCGGATACGGTTACCCAGCTGTACCCGGCGACAAACCCCAACGATACCCGCTACGATCTAGCAGTTTTATTTACAGACGCCATTTTTAGATGTCCGATTCGGCAGATGGCTCAGTTGCTAGCTCAAGCAGCACGAAGCAACAGGGTATGGGTTTATAAATGGGCCAAATCATTAGCAAATCAGCTGCCAGAATATTTTTCATTCTGCACGGACAGGTCGTGTCATGGCGTGACAATTCCGTACTTCTTCCAGAGTTTTAAGGCAGCTTTAGGAAACGCTAGCGATGAAGACATTAGAATGAGCAACGCTCTAATAGATTACTTAACCAATTTTATTAAATTCGGAGATCCCAATGGAGAGAAACAGCTGGGATATTACAACAACACCGCAAACAACCACGGTACAGGCAGCTCTTTAGAAACGTCGTTAATATACTGGCCAACGGTCAATGGCGGTCAGCCAAATGTTACCACACAGCTTCTGTTCACAGCAGACGCACGGCTGGAAGTGACCAGTCAAACGACGGACGAACGATGCCAGGCTTGGGACAGCACACATTATTCTTTACGTTGAAAGTAATACAGACTTGTCTAGATCAATCTCTCCCCCCCCCCCCCCCCCTCTTCCAACCAATATGTCCTTCTTTTTAGATTTAAATTCCATTTTTGCATTTGAAACTCCATAGAGGCTTCGAATCTTATATATGGCATACAATCAAGATATCTTCTTGTTACCATTTTTTTTTCTAGATCAAAACTAATTGTGCCGCTTCAAAGAAATTATGGGGGAGCCGGCGTCACGCTGGGAAAGGGGGCGGGGGAGTGGGGGGCGGGGTCAGTTCCGTCATATTTAATAGGAAACTATCTTCTTCTTCTGCCTTTCTATCCCCCAATGGAGCATAGGCCCTCAACCAACTCACGCCAAGTCGTTCTATCCTTCGCCATTGCATGGAGCTCTCCCCATGTCCTCCCAATCTTTCTAACCTCGTTCTCCAGCTCTCTTCTCCATGTGTTGTTTGGCCTTCCTTTATTCTTATGACCCTGTGGGTTCCAATGCAAAGACATTCTAGTAATGCTGTTCTCCTGTTTTCGCAGTGTGTGCCCTATCCAACGCCAGCGTCTTTTCCTCACTTCCTGATCCACTGGAGCCTGTTTAGTTCTCTCCCAAAGTTCTACATTAGTTATTCTATCATACCATTTAATTCCCTCTATTCTGCGCAGGCACCAGTTAATGAATATCTGTAATTTTTTAGTAATTGCCTTGGTTGTTCTCCATGTTTCCGCCATATACAATAGTACTGATTTGACATTAGAATTAAAAAATTTTAGTTTAGTATTTCTTTTAATTTCTTCTGACCTCCACAAATTCCCTAGTGCTATGAAAGCCCCTCTTGCCTTTTGTATTCTTATTTTAATATCTCTAGCAGTTCCTTCATCTTTATCTACATTACTGCCTAAATAGGTGTACGACTCCACGTCTTGGAGTGGGGTGCCATTAAGAGAAACCACATTACTATTTGCCTGATTTATTCTCATTATCTTTGTCTTTCCTTTATGGATTTTCAGATCAAGCTGTTGTGATCTCGCATTAAGTATATTTAATTTATCTTGCATCTGATTCCGTGAATGGGACAGAAGAGCAATATCATCAGCGAAGTCTAGATCATCAAGCTGTTTTGTAGGAGTCCACTGAATTCCATTCTTGGTGTTAGCAGTTACTGTTTTCATAGTCCAGTCTATAGCCAGTAAAAAATAATAGAGACGACAAAAGACATCCCTGTCGCACACCTGTTTTTATTTCAAATGCATCTGTTAGCTTTCCCTCATGAAGAACTCGACATTTCATGTTTTTATATGTTGCCTTTACTATGTTTATAATTTTATGTGGGATTCCATAGTGCCCCATCAATTTCCAGAGAGATTCCCTATCTATGCTGTCAAATGCTTTTTCATAGTCTATAAATCCAATGTAAAGTGGTGAGTTCAGTTCAATGCTTTGCTCTATTATAATACGTAATGTGGCTATCTGATCAGTACAGGATCTGTTTGACCGAAAACCTGCCTGCTCATCTCTTAGCATTTTATCAATAGCATCTTTTAATCTTTCCAAAATAATTCTACTTAATATTTTTTTCCAGGAACTGACAGCAACATAATTCCTCTATAGTTTTCACACTCCTGTAGATCACCTTTTTTGGGCAGTTTCACAAGATATCCTTCTCTCCAGTCTGCTGGTATTTCTTCGGTCTCCCAGACTTTACTGAATAATCTATATAGCAATTCTTTTTATGTGTTTATGTTGGTCCTGATGGCTTCAGCTGGGATACCATCTGGGCCAGTCGCCTTTCCTTCCTTGAGAAGATTTATAGCTTTTCTAATTTCCTCTTTGGATGGTATCTCACAGTTGATATCCAGTTCCATTTCTAAAGGCTGGATATCTAGGGGAACCTCTGGGCCTGGTCTATTTAGAAGCTTTTCAAAATATTCAACCCATCTGTCCATTTGATCTTTAGTGTTAGTAAGTACCTTTCCTTGACTATTTTTGGTTGATCCAGTTGGCTGACTATATTTACCTACTAATTTTCTTGTGTTACTGTAAAGTTCTCTGAGGTTTCCTTTTGCTGTTGCTGTCTCTGCTTCTTGTGCTAGATCATTTAGATATTTCACTTTATTTGCCCTTATATGCCTCCTAACTTCCTTGTTGGCTTCTGTGTATTTCTCCTGAGCTCTAGCTTTAGCAGCTCTAGTTTTGCTATTGTTTAATTCTGCCTTTTTTACTTTTCCTTTCTTCAATCAGTTTAATGGTTTCTGGTGTTATCCATGCTTTATGTTTCCTTTCTTTCTTGCCAAGAACTTCTACGCAAGATTCATTCCAGATTCCTTTGATCTGATCCCAGCAGACTTCTGTGTTGACATCTTCACTAACTGCTGCAACACCTGGTACTTATTAGAGACCGTAACTGAGAACTGTTCCTTAATTTCTTTATCTCTGAGAAAGCCTACATTATATTGGTTTCTATGATTATAAGATGTTATATATCTTTTTAGTTTCAACTTGATTTTACTTACCACCAGGATATGGTCAGTAAATACATCGGCAACTCTGAAAGCCCTAACATCGTAAAGGGATGATCTAAACTTTTTGTTAATACATATGTGGTCAATTTAATTAGTTGTCGTATGGTCTGGTGATTCCCATGTTGCCTTGGGACAGCACACATTATTCTTTACGTTGAAAGTAATACAGACTTGTCTAGATCAATACCCCCTCCCCACCCCCAAACCAATATGTCCTTCATTTTTAGATTTAAATTCCATTTTTGCATCTGAAACTCCATAGAGGCTTCGAATCTTATATATATCTTCTTGTTACCATTTTTTTTTCTAGATCAAAACTAATTGTGCCGCTTCAAAGAAATTATGGGGGAGCCGGCGTCACGCTGGGAAAGGGGGCGGGGGAGTGGAGGCGGGGTCAGTTCCGTCATATTTTATAGGAAACTATCCTAGAGGCCTATTCCTAGTTTTACAGCATAATAATAATAATGATAATAAACACAATAATAATGTGCTGAATGGCAATAAAAACTATACTGATAAATTGCAAAGGATATAAAATGTACAGGGAAGGTGGGGGAATAGACCAACTGTCCCCTAACAAGCATGCCGTAAAAATAATTAGGGGTATTTCTTTGGAAGTCGGAGTGTGTCTTCGTGAAAAGCGAGGAACCAACAGTCTGTATACACACAAGCCAGAATTGTAAAACATATGCACACGCAAAATACAAGTCCTGGAACAAGACCAAAGTCCAGAAGTGGACAAACAGCCAGAAATTTAAACCAGTCGGTGAAAGCAAAGAAGGAAACCAATTCAGCACCTTTGTTCTTTCACATGAACGTTTTTTTAGGACGTTCTCTTGGACATCCTCGTTTTTTTTTCAGTCCTTTTGTTTCATATTTCATTGCCTATTTGATGATTCTCCAAACGCTTCCGCTCAGAATACACTCATTGGATTTGACAGATAGATCAGTTTGTCCCCTCCGGGCAGCTACAGAAAGCGTTACCACACCATCCTGAGATTCAAAACTCTCAGTCTGGATATCAGACCAACACGCTAGATCTCAGATACCCCGTTCAACCTTTCAAAAAAGGGTTATAATTAGGGTACCCAGTCATTGCTACAGGTGCCTACTGCCATCTGCAGTTCCGTCGGGGCAAGGGCTGCCCAGTGTATTAAAATCGTCCTTATTTATAAATGTTGATACGCCTCTTGTCTCAGAAGCTGAAATCTTTTGGTCATATTACGCGCCACGGCATGATAGCAGGAAGAATGTACAGGGGTCGACCGACACGAAGATGGGCACAGGATTTGACTCCTGGAGTATGAAAGTACATAAGGCTGGAGAGCTGGCGAGAGACCGAGTTTCTCTTAGGCAGACCGTGATGAGAGCGACGTTCTGCAAAAAAAAAGACCTGCTAGATAATGATGATGACACCATGGTTTGTCCAGACATTTTGAACAGATATAATGAAACTGATTATTTTGGATTGTTTGTTTTAAAATCAATTAAAAACAAGTTGTTGACATTGAAGAGCTATGTTTTCATTTGTTGCCATCGAATGAACTGTTGTGTTGTACACACTCTATCCTGCTTACACTCATCCTCGAAGTCATTCTCCTCCTCCTATTCATTCTCATCAAAATCATCATCCTTGTCATCATCATCATCATACTTGTCATCTTCATCCTTATCCTCCTCCTCCTCATCATCATCAATATCCTCATCCTCTTCCTCATCATCATCATCATCATCCGCATTATCGTCGTCGTGCTCATCATCATACTCCTCCTATCATCATCATCATCCTTCTATCAATTTCCTCATCCTCGGCATTCTCCACCTCATCATCATCACTCTCATCCTCACCATTCTCTTTATTATCCCCCTCCTACTTATCGTAATCACCAATAAAATCCTTCTAGTAATCATCCTCAAAAGGACCATCATCTACGTCTTCTATATCATCATCATCTGCAGCCTTATCATCATCATCGTCGTCATCATGGCCATCATCATCATTATCATTGCGTGCGCGCGCCTATACACACATATACATAAAACACGCCCGCAGACAGACATTTTTATACAAACATCACCTACGCAAACAAATTAAAAAAAAATACATATAACAAGCACATAAATGGTACAAATTCCTGTCCTATTCCCCATTTAACGGGAGATAATTCACTGATATCATTGCTAGACAGCTAAATTAGAATTGATTACGTCCCTTTATGGAATAAAATAACAAATTCTAGATCAGAAAGGAAAGCGGCCGTGGCGTACATGTTAGATAGATGCTCACCTGTGGATCCAGAAGTCATGGGATCGATCCTTACGCAACCGGATTTTTTTTTCTAAATTGACTTTGGCTCCCAGGTCGACACATCCTCAAAACAGTACCAGGTAAAGTCTAAGGAAGTAAAAGTGGCCAGCGTGATGTTGAGCACATTACCCACAATGCCAACTAATCAACTTCTTCTTCTTCTTCTTCTTCTTCTTCTTCTTCTTCTT